GAGCAAATGAGTTATGAGTAAGTAATTAGATCCATGTAATGTGGAAATCATAACTAGTTTTAATTAATATCTAAGATTTTAACAACATAAGTTTAAAAATAAAAAAGCCATGGAATTAATTAATTCACTTCATTATCATTTTAAATGTAAAATGTAAAAACCAATTTAAGTGTTTTTTTTTCAAATATTGTTTGAACAAACCGTATTGTAAATTAACCTTGTATTTAAATGTCGTCTTCGAAGCTAAAATTACAAGATTACCTATAATAACAAAAATAGCCAACAGCACAACGTTAAATACTTATTCGGCCAAAATTTGACACTATAATATGAAAAAGTATGCTAAAAAAATACAATTCCATTTAATTATCTGTATTATAATGGACTTATGAATTTACGAATAAATAAGCTATTCTTTTCATTATTTATATGAAATTAGGAATGGTAAAGTTTCGTACCCTGCTGCAGTTGTGAGTCGGTTGAAATCTTTTTTATTTTGAATCCACCTTAATTAAGTTAGGTAATAAATTAATCCTAACTCAAAAGACATTGAATTCAAATTGAAAAATTAATTCATATATTATTTTATGTAAATTAATTATCCGATAATTATTGTGTCCTCAAGAAATTTATAATGCCAAAGATTCCTTAATTCCGCGTGAGGTTTAATGATAATTAATTAATATTTATTACAACAATATTTAGGATGCTAAAACAAATATTATTTATATTAGAAAAGAAAACCTTTTCAATAAATATCCTTGGTGTAATAGGTACATTTTAGTGGTGGGTCAAACTTGTTCGAGGTTCGAAAAATTAAACCAGAACCGAACATGAATTCAAACAAACCGTTTAAGATTCTATAATTAATACGAACTCAAAAATAGTTCAAACTCTCAATAAATGTACGAACTCTAAATAAACTTCGAACACGTTAAATACGTGTCAAACATTCAAATGTTTTCGGTGTTTATTTTTAAATTATTATTTTGACAAAATTAAAAAGTTTAATTCGACATTTAATTCAAAAGATCGGTTCGGGTTCAGTTTGGTATTAACTATCAACCATAATGTTAATTTATCGGTTCGTGTTCGATTTGACATAGTAAATTATATTATATTTATTTATTTTGTCCGATATATTGCATGAATATTTTTAGGTATAACCGTATATATTATAATTTATTATGTAAACATTGTAACAGGACAAAACGAGTGGTTTTTGAAATAGCTAGCGCTATCTGGTGGTAGCCAGATGCGAAGGAACGAAGGCCGTGGTGCCTACTGGATTTTATATAGGTACACACGTTTTATGACTTTACAAGCAAGATAAAAAAGTTTAGTATGACTTGCAAAACACTTAGTAGTCCTAGTTTATGAGTTTTCTTACAACGACCCTATTATTATATGGTTTTAACATCAAATACGAACCCATTTAATTCACCGAGCGTGAACGATCGGAACGCCGAGCCGTACAGAGTGCCGGACAGTAGCGTAGCTCTCCGACCGACTAACTTTCGTGACTTTTATAAGTAAAAAAGGCACCATACGAATACTTAATACACTCAGAAGCTGTGTTACAATGTAATGAAGCGAATTACTGTAGCCGCCCGAAGCTGAAGACAAGCACAACCCGAAGAAATATGGTCACAACAGCGAATAGTAACCAACATACTACATTATATTATCGTGTGGCAATGAACCACAGATTTAGCAGCCGGCCAGCGCCTACCGCCGACCAGTCCGAAACTAATTATGCTCATTCAATTTATTTTCAATTACTGTTTAAATTAATTTAAATTCGCTGCCTAGAGGATCCCGCCGCAAGTTAATGATTTTTTTTAACTCAGTTAAGTTGATATGCATCAACAACAGAAAGTTAAAAGTTAAAAGTTAATTTAACTATAGATTAACTCAGTTAAGTTAAAAGTTAATATACACTTTTTGTTAACTTTTTATTAAGTTAAAAAAAAGTTAATTTGCTTATACAAGGCTACAGTACTTAATTTTTTGAAAACCCAAAACTAAATTATTGACCTTATAGTGTTTATACTTTATACAGTATTTCCATATAATTTAGATTCCAACGATATAAATTTTTACTTTAAAAAATTCAAGGTAAATATTTTTTGACATGAAAATTGAAAACAAAATAGACTGAAATAGTGAAATATAGTAAAATTAAAAATAAAATAAATTAACTTAACTTACTTGTTAAAAGGAAAAATTAACTCGTTAATTTCACGTTAATTAAAAAATAAATTTAGTAAGTTAACAGTTAAGTTAATGAAAAGCCAAAAGTAACTAGTTTAGTTAAAAAGTTAAAATTAAATTAACTTTTTAACTTAACTTTAACTTTTTAACTCGTTAATGCCCCGCCTTGCCTTTTTGGTGCGCCTCCTCTCCTGAACCTGCGGTGTGAGTAGTGGTACAGCTAGACCAGGGGCTAAAATATTGTGTCCCCTGACACACTTTGTGACCCCTGAAAATCAAAGTGTCCCCCCTGATTGACAAATGCGTGTCTCAAGTTTTATGACGTGTTTTTGTAGAAATAACAAACATTAATCATTTAATATTTTTATTTAATAGTTACATATTCTGTTAACTAATTTAACTAATTACTTATTTTATTTCTATACTATGGACAAGTTTGTTATAAAAAAGAAGAAGAATTAATGATAATGGGTCAATACAAAGTAAGTAGGTACTTGCCTTAATATATTAAACAACCGATATATTATACAAGTACATAATATATTTAAATTATTCTATTTTGTGTCTATTGATTATATTGAAATACAATATTGTTTACTGAAACGTATAGGTAGGTACTGAAAAGCTAACTAGTAAGAGCATTGTAAACTATAGCATATTGTCATAATATTATATAATTAGGTATACTATAACATATTATAAATATGTGTTTTTATATATTTTATGTCTGAAATATGTTAAAATATTTTTTAAAAATAACAGATAATCATAATCATAAATTGGACTTTGAAGAATTAGCTAGTTACTTTTCCTTGTTTAATAAATATAACTATAAGAGGTTCTACATACATAATAATATAATATTATAACAGTTTATTTAACTAACAAGCCCAATATTATTTTCTAATATTTTTAAAATATTATATATATTTTATATTAATATTTTAAATTTTTTTTTTTAAAAAACCTTAATATTCTTATAAAGTAAGTCGCTACATTAATTATTTTCTAATTGATGATGGTAACCTACAAACATATTTACATATTTCCCAATTTACTACAAACAAGGCTTAGTATAGGCTTTTACTGCTTTTAGTGATTTAAAATATTTATTAAAGTTACCTCACTAACTCACGTACAGAGTAAGTGGTATATAAAAGAGGCGGTTATTTTTGGGGTTTCAAACAACACAGGTCTTTTTTGCTATAGAAATCTGTCAAAGCCCAAAAGTAACAGTTAAATTAATAAGTGTGTCCCCTGAAATCAGATGTATTTTAGGCCCTGAGCTAGACTGTGTACTGTTCAAGCTACTCACACTCCCAGGCCCCAGCGTAGGATAGGAACCTCTCGACACCCCTAAATGACTATCGACTATTGGATAAGCAACTAACAACTAATGTCTATGAGAAATGACTAACGACTATTGCCTATCGAAAAACGACTACATGACTAACGAGTAACGAACAAATTAGTCCAATATTGTGACCAAAAAATAAATATTTATCTTAAGTAACAAAAAAATGTATTCATTTTTAAGTTTCATTAGGATAATTGATTAAATATGATATTTTCCAAGAACAAAATAATATTCCAAGTACTTTTTACAGTAATATAATATCATATATTTCAACCAAATACAATAGGACAATAGCTTTACAACTTATATTAAATATTTGATACTTACAAGTCGAAAGTTAAAAGAATAAAAAATTGTTTTAAATTTTTATTTAAAAATATAAGAATGTCTAAATGTTTTGCATTCAGCCGATTTCTTTTCGCATTCAATATTTCCCCTGCCTTTGAAAACACTCTTTCAGAAGGAACAGAGGTGGCTGGAATAATAGTATAAACTATGAATAAATATTGTATGACTATATGAACATATTTAATTTTTATAACAGTTATTTTGTATTATCATTTTGGCTAATATTATTCATTGGTTGGTTTATCATTCGTTAGTTGGTTTAATAATTAGTTACTTCAATAAACCGACTTATTTACTTATTATTTACTACCGACTAAGTCATTAGTCGTTATTCGGTTGTGCCCATCACTAGGTACTCCGCGATATCCGCCGCGTAACCAGCCAGCCTTCCTCTGCGCGGATTCGGCAGTGGTGAAGCTAGACTGTATTGTTCAAGCCGTCGATCTCCGCCCAGCAGCGATCCGCTGATCGTATTCCGCTGTCGAAAATCGTCGCCGGTGCGTACCAGTGAATTCGCCGTCCAGCGTTATTATCCGTATTTGCTACCAACGTCGCCGTCATCCCCGTGTAACGTCTCCTCTTCACCTGGGGGTCGCACCCCTCGGTGTAGTTCTGTTTATATTAACGAGGTCTCGGAAACTCGACCTCGGTGTGTGACATTATTGCTAGGGATCAGGGTTACCTTATGTAAAGCAAGTACTCAAGTATATATATAATTTTGTAACTGTTATTAAAATCAAATCTTACAATATAAGAACATTAAAATATAATTATTAGATAGGTATACTTATAGATTAGCTTCACTGAAGGTCACTGGTGGAGATATGTGGTGTCGACTTGTCGTGGGTGCTGCTATCCGAGGTGGGTGAGCTGGCCGTCCACAGGTCCTCTTTTGGTCGTTGTCCGCTCTCGACCTCCACTGTCGACCATTCACTATCCCTCTTCACTCTTGACTATTTTCCGCCAGGAGTTCTGGTCGGTTATTGACTCGATGTCAGCTAAACATCGCGTCAGCATAATATATATTTCATATTTTTCCTTACTCGGCATACTAGGAGTAATGTACGATGTCGATGACGACATGTTCGTTACACCCGCTTGCGTCGCCGCGGAGTCACGTTTTCTGTTAGCGTCGTCGCCGTCGTCCGCGCTTACGTCGCGACGAACATCATTATCGACCGGTACGCTTATCCATAGTATAAGGCTAGGTTCACATGAAGAGCGTTTACAGCTTTCCGACGCGTTGCAACGCGTTAACTCGCGTCGTCATTCATCCTGTGTAAATTTTCTAAACGCGCGTTTAACAGCTCTCATGTGAAATAGGCCTAAGAAATAACAAGTATGATCAACTCGAACCGTGTTTTCGTCCTAGTTCGCGCATGTGCATCGCCTTGTGTTTTTGTGCATACTGCATTGCAAAATATTAGATGTTTACTCGTGACGTGGTCTTGTGTTTATTGTTGGTTGCCTATAAAAATTATATTATATTGCCCCTTAAAAAAATGTGAGCAGTCTTATCATTGAGCATACTTCTTATTCCTTATACTATGCGCTTATCGAACTATTGCCGTTGAGTGCGTAGATTAATTAACTTCGAATTAATTATTATAATCGCTGTTACACTTTGTCGATGCGTATTCGATTCTTGCCGTTGAAGCCACTGTGGTACATCGGCATACCGTTCAACCGCCTTTCAGTAAAGAAGCAGTAGATCTTGCTGAAGTTACTGTTGCTACCATTCAACGTTTACGTGGAAATATAATTGAAGAGCTTATACAATTGTTTAAAGAAGCTGAGGTAAAGATAATCAAATATAATATTATATAATATAATTTTATATTTAGCCTTTTAAGTACCTAATCTTGATATAATATTATAATAACTCTTATAAAAATATAACCATTGTTATTAAAAAATGCACAAAACGAGCCAACCCTAGTATTAATGACCCTGAAGAATATTATAGAGTTACAATAGCTATACCATACATTGATTCATTTATACAACAGTTAAATGAGTGCTTTTTATGTTACAAAAATGTACTTAAAGGTTAGTACCTAACTAAATTTATTTTTTATTGAATTATACTAATTTTGGAAAATTGTTTCTAGGATTTCAATGTTTGTTTTCTGGTACATATTCAGATGATTTTGACGAACTTCTTCAATTTTATCTTGACACTGATAAACAAATTGTTAAAGCAGAATTAAATCTATGGCATGCAGTACTTAACAACAATGGACAACACACTAAAAGTGGGTTGGAAGCATTAAGGCTATGCAAGAAGGAAATGTTTCCAAATATTCATTTCTTAGTTCAAATACTATGTACTTTACCAGTGTCCACAGCAACACCAGAACGAACGTTTTCATGTCTAAAAAGATTGAAAACTTATTTAACAAACACAATGACAGAAGTGATTTTCTCAATCTCAAACTTAATATTTAAAATGATACAAGATTAAAATTACAATTTGTTTTCAGACACGACTTAATGGACTGACAATGTTGGCTGTTCACACTGATATACCACTTTCAGCTGAACCTTGACAAACTTACAAAAAAAACCACGCAAACTAGACTTTGTTTTATAATTATTACTTATAGTTTTTACATTTTAATACATAATGATTTGTTATAAATATTCATTGATTAAAATATTATATTAAAAAAAGTTGAACCCTCCACCATTCAAAATTCCTGAGCACGCCACTGTCACCGCCCGATTGCTGTCTACGTTCCACTATCGCTGCCATACACTGAGAGCTTGGAAGATGGCCCAGTCGTCATTGTCACGATAGTCAATCGCCACCAATTTCCAAACGGTTCTATTAAACGGAAGTTAACGTGAGTCTTTTACCTTGTCAATTTTAAAGCGTATCTGTGGCTCGAAGAGCACTTGTGTGTACAAAAGAAAATATTGTAATGTTTTTTTTTTTTTGAATTTCACCATTGAGAAATAATTGTAGCTCGAAGAGCACGTCATGTATTTATAAAAAAAAAATATTGTTATCTGAAATAAATAATTATTATATTGTAACAATAAAAGCACATATTATTGCACAATAAAATACAGTGTGTATTACATCGTTACAACATATATTTAGATAAAGTTGGCCTCCAGCAGACTTTATGCAAACATGTTTATGCGCTGCCAACTTCTTCTACCAACGTATTATAAAGGTAATATAAAAATATTGTAATTAATAAAAATAATGGATCTTCATTAGCTGTACGCAATACTAAAATTGATTATATTATAAATATAACTATAGTTAAATCAATATTATGAAAAAATAATCAAAACTACTAATAAAATAAAAAAATATATAATTTATATAATTTTTTTTTTTATTGAGGTAAAATTAAAAAAAAAATTGTTCAAGTTGTGACCAGTCTATTTAAAAAAGCAGTGTAATATACTATAATGATAATTTTAGTTTTCCCAACTATATTAACCTACTATTGCTTTCAAATATTTAAAAAAACACATCAATATAATCAGACCAGTCTTTGTGAATTGTATTATAGTAAATAGTTTATTATATGAAACTGAGAAATCATTAGGATTTCACTCTAATAGTCTAATGTGTGAAACATTTTGTTCTCACAAAAAGCAAAAAGCTGTTTATGTTTTAAATAACTTTGTTATAAATGTAGAAATTATTAATTAAAAAATCTAATAAAAGTACTGACAGAATATCAATAGTTAAAATTTAGTATACATAATATTACAAATACCTACCCCTATGAAGGTTAACAAAAAAAAAAAATGTATCTTAAGTTTTCTCGGCTTTTCAGAGAACGGAGCTTTTTAAGTGAATATTCCATAACATCGCAGAATTATAACGATAACACTACAGACAGATTTTAGATTATATTCTGTGAATAGGTATGCTCAAGTTAGGTAGGTATACTTACTTTTATTGCTTGTATTAATATATTATGTATCATTCGAGTTAGGATATTTATATGTAATAAGAAAATGGTAAAATATGCAAATTATCTAAAAACATTAATATTTTAAATTCTATCAATCACAAAATCGCAAATAACACAACAAAGTATTTTATCACCAGTTTTGAAAACTTTATTAGATAATTCTTCAACAGCCTACAGGCGTTCTTAATTTAGCACTTTCACTTTGAACTTTGGGCATTCTAACAAATGGTTTATACCTAAATAAATGTTTAACCATTATGCGTCTATACCTACACTCGACAAACACTTTTTTTAACCACTGCTTATAGTTAGGTAACAAGCCTAAATTAATATAAAATCTTATTTTTTACTAGTTATAACCGACCATATTGTGTCTGTTTATAAATACTAGGTATATTTACAACATATAAGACAATATTTTTTTTTTTTTTTTGTTATTAAAGTATTTTTATTCAATCTGTTTCAATACATGAACAATAAGAACAATTTATGAAAGTAAAAATAAAATAAAATAAAAATAAATGACAGATTATCCCGAATGTAGAGGCCTCCCAACGGAGGTACTACGACATGAGTATTACTAAATTAGGCTAGCAGGTCGCGACACCACTGTCTTTTAAGTCTTTTAAGTCTCTAAGACAATATGAAAGAAAAAAATGGTTGATGTGTAAACATCTATGCTATCGGTTTGTAGTACGACCTTCTTGGGGAACCAAACGTCAGGCGTAAGTCATGTAGATGTGACTGCTTGAGTGTGTGTGTGTCGTCGCCATAGCGCTAAAATCGCAGAACCAATAAACCAGGCGAGTTTCTTATTTATTATTTTCTTTGTTATTTTCACGAGTATGGTAGGTGCGAACGCGCTCTGGTACAGTCGTCGGCCGATTCATTATTATTATTAATATTATTTATTATTCTCGTTTACGTATACGCGCGAAACCGTGTTTGTATCGTATAATATGTATTAAGTATACAAATTCCCACTCAAACCATGACATTATATTCCCCAATCAAAGTCTTACTACAGCTAAGATGTTTACAGTTTTACACATCATTCGTGAGTACAAAGGCACTCACATTTTCGTATACAATGATATGATATCATTGAATTCAAATTTAAAACAACCCAGTATACAGTTACCAACTTGTAACCTACTGTGCAGCAGAACGACATCCTCTTACCCGCTTTTTTCTATTTAATTCAGTATGAGCGAAATATAACTGAAAAGCAATGTATTTGCACTAAAGGAAAAAATATGCTAATATATGCATAGAAATCCTAGCCCTGAATAAATTGATAAATTATCATATTTTTCCGTAGGTTTTATGTTTTTCCCGTATTTTTACCTATTTATCCGATCAACTTATGACTTCGGTGTCGGTACAATGTTCTGTTATTATTGCTATACAAATTATTTTATTAAAATGTACTTATCTATAATTTATAACCTATACCTACTAACATACTATAGTTATCAATATCTCATACTATTTTAAATAAACTTATTGTATTCATAACTGCAGTGTTAAATATACTTTACCTATTGATATATGGATCGTTTAACTGCACTGATAGTTCATATAAAAAACTTATAAATATATTATTGACAATATTTTAAGCGTGTCAATCGATTTAGTTTTACAATTGACGTAAAACATTTAAGAATAAACACAAATACATTATTTTATATTACTATTTTGAAAAAAAATTGTTTATTAATATTACAAAAAAATGAACAATATATTATATTTATTTCATTATTTTCTCATTAGAGTATTAGACATATTGTCACACCAAACACTTAGGTACTCATAACAACATAATCCACTGAGTTATACTACAGCTGATATTACTCTCCAAATAAATCTGCTTACGTTTAATTATTATTTTGAAACTAGCTGATCCCGTGCACTTCGTTTCCCGTTAAATGTACCAAATCTATATGACTCAAACATTGTTCAATGCGTTATTTAATATTCGGTGTATGATGTTCTAGATTTATCTTAACTTTTCTGTTGCCCGGAATAAAAATTCTGAATTGCAGCAGTACATTATCCGATAGATAAGATTATCCGGTAGATCGCGGAATCCGTGCTGTTTGTACGTAAGTGTATGATTTAACTCAAAAAGTACCAAAGTTATACCAAGTTTGACGTTTTTACTTAATTAAACCTACCTATAAATCGTAACCTCACCTAACCGTACTAAAATCCGATGAATAAAAAAAACCAAATTTAACCCTTTTTAAATTAGCGTATCTTCTTCACATAGGTCATTCATTTATATATAAGATATATTTACAAAAAATAATAATATAAATCAACAAACATGCCCGATTAACCAATAGCAACCAATATAATATAATACACCATAGAGTAAATAAAGACAACGGTATCGAGTTCAAATCCCAGACATCAATAAATAGTTTTTGCAGTTTTTCTAATTATTCGGTTGACTTTTTAAAAATTTTCTTTCGTAAAAACCTTCACCTGGCAATAACGAACATCTTAAAAAAAATTTGAGCAAAATCGGCCCAGCCGTTCTCAACTGATGCAATTTCGAATTTTTTGTTTCCATTTATATATATATAGATTATAAATAGTTTATAATATTATATAATCTATATATATATAAATGAATGTATGTCAGTGTGTGTGTCCATATTACCATGGTAACCATATCTGTATATATAAAACAGTAAGCTGATTGACTGCTATCAACGCACAGCTCAAACCATTGGACGGATCTGGCTGAAATTTGGCATACAGATAGCTATTATTATGTAGACGTGCGCTAAGAAAGGATTTGCCAAAATTCGCATTTTAAATAGGTGCTGAAACAGGGACATTGAGATTCACGATAGAAATTGGAAATTTTATTTTTATTTATTTATAGTTGCCATTGGTTACAACTTACAGTCTACATTAGAAATTAGCATTTATTTATTGGTGGCCATTGGTTATTCGGGCAGATCAGGTACAAGCTTGCATCAAATCGAATTATTGAACATTGCCTACCAGGGTGGCTGAGTTGCACTTACCGCATCAAGTTACACCCAAAAGGAGTTCAACAATCATAATTTTTTTAAGAGTTGCGATTTTTTACGAGCAACCAAATTTGTTATATTAATCCACAGTATTAAATCAAAATAAACTTGGTATAACTTTGATACTTTAGAGTTAAATCATACACTTCCGTACAAACAGCACGGGGTCCGCGATCTACCGAAAGTAGATTGCCTACCTGATAATGTACTGCTGCGATTCAGAATTTTTATTCCGGGCAACGGAAAAGATAAGATAAATTTTGAACACCATAGTACACCGAATATTGAATAATGAATTGAACAAAGTTTGAGTCATATTGAGTTGATACATTTAACGGGCGATGAAGTGCACGGGATCAGCTAGTATTATATAATTATTATAAAAAAAAGGTTTATAGGATTACAATATTACAAATTATGCTTTAACCGACCGTCGAACTATATTCGTGACGATGATCGGAACGAGTGCAAACATTTTCTTTTTCGAACCATAGTGAAATTCTACAAAAATAAGAACAATTTATTCCATCATACCTATCCGTAATTGTTTTTGATAGAATCGTGGAATCGGTGCGAGTGTCTCATTTGGTGGAAATTGACAAGTCTCAGAGAAAACTTGTTTCGCCCACTCAAAACCTATATATATATAATATATATTATACACATAAGTGAAGCGACTTCCCGGTTTTGTTTCCATTGAATTTCTTAAAATGTTTCATTAATTATTTTAAGCACAAGAACCAGAGTGTGGGTATACTGCAAAAGCCCACAATATTAAAAGCAAAAATATAAAATGGTGTTACGATAATACCTAATTATTACAGCGCGACTATATTATAGCCTTAATATCGGCAAGGACATCGTTGCAGTATAGGTACCTACTCAAATACAATATTGTACGATTATTTTATTTAAGAGAATAATATGGCGGGACTAAAACGACGAAGCGATTATAATATTATATTATTATAATCGGTATAGGTACCACATATATATTATTATAATAATACGCATAAATGTGACCCCGCGACGATGACGTTACGTTTCGTAATACCCGCCAGTTTGTCGACACCAAAAACAGCTCCTATTATTGAGTGGCCAACTCTTTTGGACTTCACATCTCGCGATGTTTATTTCAATATTATCAACACATGCAAAAATTGCTCAGATGACGCGATGCTGTGCTAATCAATAAAACACATTTTATTACATTTTATTACATATATTGTTTATATGTGGTGCGTGTCATATTTATAGGTTTTTTTTTTTACCACAGGAAAATACCGTTTTGAAATCGGTTCATATAATAACGATAATATGATAATATAATATGCAGTGTGCTCACGTCAGTGATGCGGGAGCTCTACCGTAAAAAAAGTTATGGATAAGTTTTACGAGTAAATTTACTGGTAATTTTCTTTATAGGCGTGTATCTAAATATTTTTGTTCACTAAATTTTAATACGAACTCAATAATGTTCTTATCAATAATTAGTGCATCAGTTCGTTAATAACCAGTTGATATCAATATTATTACCTATTATATTGTGCTTATTTTTGCTATTATAAATATATATATGAACACTCGTATTATAAATCATTTTAGTATTATATATTGTCGGGGCCAAACAGGATAATATTATTGTATATTGATAACAATCCGTACTTCGATATAAAATTGTGTTAATTTCAATGTCAAAAAGTACTTTGAATTGATTTTACAAAATAATATAATTAATGGACAATTGTGTAATGCGTTGAACTATCGTATGTGCACTGTCCGTTATAGCAGTGAGTCTATGACGCTAAGTCTAAAAGTATATATAATGAGACAGTTTTCTAAGCGATCTAAACGGTGGTCTATCCTCGTCTATCTTACCGGCCGTAGCAATTTTCATCCAAAAACGAGATACCGTTTACCTCCAATGTCCATTTTCCACAAAAAAAAAAAATAAAAAATAATAATTCTTGACCACATTTTTTTGCACTTTCCATTTTCTTCCAATAAATAATAAATACAATTATAAAACAGTTAATATAAATAATTATTTATGCATATCGAAAAAATAAAAAAATATTCTCTATTAAGCTTGATCGACGGCTGATATAGATATAGCCGATAATAGAATGTGTTCGCGCAATAAGCAATTAGCTTATCGCGGAAGACGACTCTGCGCGACGGCGACATCTCCCTTCTCGTCCAAACACCACTCCGTCCTTAAATTATTTAAATTATTCTAAATGTTATGTATATTTATTATCTTTGTTTTCTCGTTTGTGTAAATAAGTATTGGTCAACTTTTGGACAATATTATTATCAGTTTTCTCATATCACTATTATTTTTTCTTTTTTATTGTTTATGTCTACGGCCAACGCCCTTGTTGTGTTTTTTTTTTTTCGTATTATTGTTGTTGTACGTAAATTATTCTTTTTCTTGTCCCGCTATTACAGCGGTGGCTTTTCGTCGTTATTATTCTATTTTTTTTTAAGTCGCATTGAGCGCATAGTCTGTATCAAAATTATTATGTATTATTCACTACAACAGTGAGCACCAAATCTATTATTCTTAATTTATTTATTACTGCAATGTGCACCTGGTTGCCAGTCTTGGGTAAAATACTTTTTAAAAGTATTTGGAATAAATACTCGAATACTCAGGAAAAATAGTATTCCGAATATGTATTCGAATACATCATAAAAATAGTATTCTGAATAAAGTATTTAGAATACTATAAAAATATTCCAAATACTTTTAAAATATTTTTTTTTTAGATATTAATAAAATAATAACTGCTTTGGGGGAACTATAGCCAATGCTTAAATATATAATATATTGTTTGTAAATTAAAATTATAATATACCTAACTATGACTATTTATGATTTACAATATTATATTATAATATTTATTAATAATTATCTGCAATATTATTATCTTCTATGAATAATATTAATTATATTATCAAAGCATAAAATCTTTCATCAGGACAGGCACAGTTGAAAACAATACATACTAAATTAGGTAAAAAGTATTTATTTAAACAAAATATTAAAATATTTTCAAATTAAATGTTTGTTACATTTTAGCATTAATGTTTTTTCGAAGTTTTCATCTGTCATTCTTCCTCTTTTTTTAGTCAATACGGCACTACCAACACTAAAGACACGTTCTACAGCTGCACTGCTTGGCAGTGGTGTGTTGAATTTTACAAATACTTTTCTTATTGTTGGAGTTTCAATTAAAGAATCTAAGCTTTTAGTTGGACTTTTGGTAAAAAAATTTGATATTTCCTGTTCCAAAGGTAGAGTTAATTTCGATTTATTTTTTGACCAATCAAAAAAATTATTTGTATCGTCACTGTCTGATGATTCACATTCCAATAAATTTTGTTGCTCAAACATTTCTAAACATGAGTGCTTAAAAAATGATAAAGCTGTATCTTTTTTATCGCTATTATTAAGCCAAGCCGTTTTGAAGTATGGATGAGAAAGTGTAGCAGACAATAAAAATGGATCACTGAGCTGTTTATTAAAACGTTTTTCTACACTATTCTTAAGACAAATAACCAGAAAATCGCAAAAAATTAATTTTTTTTCCGATAGTAAATCATCATATTTTTGTTTGAGTGATGTGATAGATGGCAATAAGTAACCAAAATACATATGTTTTTCCCCTTGTAATACATCTAGACACACACACAGAGGCTCCATTACTAGTAAATACTCCTCCAAAAATTCTATATCGGTTTTAGAAAAACGATTAACTGTAAGGGCATCACATATCTTGTAAAATTTAGAAGGGCTTTTTTTAAAATGAATAATAAGAAATTTTATAGCATCAAACCAGGAATTCCAACGGGTATCATTAGGAGTTTTTAAGTATACATCCAAATTGGTTTTCACTATGTCAGCCATTTGACTAGAACGATTCTGTTTGTTCCAAATAGCTTGACATTTTGCAAATGTTAGTCTGCTTTGCTTTTTATAGGCTCCCAATAAACATCTGTTGGTTACATTTTTGTCATCATAACCTTTTAAAGCCTTTTCAATGTCCTGAAAAAAAGAAATAAGAAATAAGAATTAATTTATAATATATATATATAAATGTAGCTTACAGCTGTAGCGATTAAATTGAGGGTGTGTGAAGCACATCGGTGATGTTTGGGCAAATTATACAGTAAGGTGTCTTCCCAATTAGAATTGCTTTGTTGGTTTAAACTAAATTCTTCATTATTTAGAACTTCAGAAATTGGTATACTAGAAAACTCAATGTCTTCTTCTTGTTCTTCTTCAATATTACTTTCCCCATTATTGTCATGTACATTTTCCTCTTCGTTCATTTCTTCCAAAGAACTAAGTATTTCTTTATCTTTTTGGTTATTATAAACAGCTTGAACCTCTGAAGATTGACCAAACATTCTGAAAATAATTCACATTTTTATCATCAAACATACCAATAGGAACCGTAATTATTATTTATTATATATAATTAATAGGTATACAGTATACTAATCAAAGTTTTATAAATAATAATTGAATTCAGCATTTATTCAGCATCAAAACTTAGTTAACCAGTTATTTTAAAATACAAGTACAAATTTGAATTATAATATTCTAGTTTATAAAAAACTATTTTAAGTGAGTAACTTTTTATTAGTTTAAGTTACATCTTACCAGTCTTACCTGGGTCTTACCTAGTTAATTATAATAAAAATATATGATATCATAAATCATAGGCAATAGGTATTACTATTGCTATTACTTATTAGCTTGGTATTAGCCATTAGGTATGCATTTATAAAAAGAATTTCTGAAATTACTTTTGCAATTTTGTATACAACATTTAGATTAGTAAAACCATAAGTTTTAGAATACCTAATGGCTAACATAGCCACATGGTTATAAAAATAATATATTTTTAGTAAAAAACACTGAACAAAACTTACTGGAAACTTTTGACAAAATTTGATCCGTTATCAGTAGTTGTATATATGACTTTATCACTAATATTAAAGTACAAATATACTGATTCCATTTCTTTAGCTAATATATCGTACGTATGACTACCCTTTATTCTTTTAATGGCCAACAAACAAGATACTCTTTCAAGAGTTTTTGGATTAATCCAATGGCATGTCAATCCTAAATATGACCTGAAAAAAACATTTTATATATAAGTTTATAATATTATTAATGTATTATTATATTATTAATTTATTAATGTACATAATTATTTTAATGCCACACCTTTTAAAAATAGACCAACAATCAGCTGTTGTGGTCAAATATTCGACTTTGGAAAATGCATCTTTCATTGTAAGTATGAGATTTTCATGTTGAACAGTTATATTTTTCATCAATGTTTTCCTTGTTAATACATGGCAACCATTATATCCAACTGTTATCAATTTTTTAAAGTCTTCATGCTCCACTAAATTAAATGGCAATGAAGCATTAATGACTAGATTTTGAATCATCAAATTTAACTCCTCTAAAATATGAATATTTATAAACAATTAAAACTATATAATTTTACAGCAGTAGTAAAAAATAAGCAACAAACACAATGACAAATAAATATAAAATTAAAAAATTAAAATCACCACATTAATGAATGTTAGTCTGATTTAAGAATGAGTTAAACGTTTACTATACAAATAAATTACCCAATTTATAAATGTGAAAATAATAATTAATAGTGTTAGCTAAAAACTTAACTTCATAAAAAAAACTTTAAATTGTCTAACACAGCCATACCCTAAATTATCACAGATATTTTTATAAGGATTCTTAAAAAAAAACCTGAACCTGGTTCATTTAACCAAACTTTTAGAATAATTGTATTAATGGACTCTACCTCGGTAGTATACTTCCGCAAATATAAAGTTACAGGCAAAGGGTAAAATAGTTTGTAATCAACAATTTAAAACTAAAATTTGACTTACTTTGAGATGTCAAAGTATTTTTTCTAGAAAAATCTAATATAGTAGTAACTTTTGATTTCTTTTCTTTCACCAAATTTAAGCTCTCATTTGTTTCTTCTGTAACATAATCACTTGTTCTCTTCAATTTGGTTTGAGTCTCGACAGTCTCGTCGTTTTTCGAAGTCCAAACATTTTTATGTTGCATCTAAAATAAATTGGGTAACCTCTCTATATTTTTTAGGTATTAGGTAATAGGTATTATATACCTAATATATTATACAATGCTCCGAAAATAATCTGTTTAAACTTTTATTATAATTATAATAATAGTAGGACAAAGATACAAAGTATTAATCGTTGGAATAAGTACTTACTTCTAAATGTTTTAACAGATTTGAACATGTCCTTGTGTCTGCTGTTAATAATTTAGTTGATACACAATATTTACAACGAACCAAATATTTTTGGTATGATTCAAAATCTTCTTTTAATTTTACAATTTTAAATATATTTTCATATTTAATCCAAGGAAGACGGTAGTCACTATTTACACTATTTAAAGTTTTATCTGCCATAATTGTGAACTCGCAAATTAATGATTTAACACGTTGAAAACAAAAATACGTAAAATAGTATATAACAATAAATTAATAATATACTATGTCAATATAATGTGTGATGTGTCACTGTCGCACTTCATTCTGCATTTCTAAATCGCTTATTGGCTTTTCATAGACCATAGTTAGTATGGGTACAACGATGTGCAGACTACAGAGACGTCAGAGACAGACGTTCAGTCACAGTAGATAAAATATAAAAGATAAGCAATACGGCAATACCCATTAGTCTTTAATATACAAATTTATTTATAGCATTCTTGTTATTGCAATCGGTATCGCTGATCGGTAACCACTAATCAGTAAACACTAAACATGATATAAACCAATACCGGTCATAATTTTATTATTGTATGAATGTATGATATTAAATATTGATAGATGTTATCAAATATCAATTACTGAATTACCTACAAATTTGAAATTTCCAACAAAAATTATACGTTTTCTATTTTTCGTTTTAAATTGTATAACCAAAATCCTAAAAAAATATATTGTTATACTATTAAAGTATTCCGAATATAGTATTTGGAATACTTTCGAAGGTATTCTGAATACTGCGTAAAATACTTTTAGGAAAAGTATTTTCAAAAGTATTCTGAATACCTAAATAGTATTCCGAATACTGTATTCGGAATACTTTATTCGGAATACTACCCAAGACTGCTGGTTGCTCACTGTTCTCATTAGTATACTTTGTGTCGCTGTTATACAACAATCTCAATAAAACACGATCTCATACCCAAAACTGAATGCGTAAGTCATTTATTCATTATTCTTATTATCATCATCATCGTCATAATAAACGAGTCGTCCGCGTAAGTCTGCCAGCAACGTACGTTATGTGAGAGGCCGCCCAGGTCGTCGAGAGTCAATTTCCCGAGCTGCGTCTTCGGCAGCGTATCACCGTCTCCGGACTTCCTTAATATTTAAGTTAGTTTGTAAGTACTGGCCTTATATTGTGAGCTCTGTGATCATTGCACCATACCAGAATCGATCACAGAGACCCCTCCCCATAATTAAACTGTATCATCCTAACTCCAAAACTAGGTCTGTCCCATCCTTATCGTCGTCGTGCAACTATAATTGCCTATCCGCAAACAATAAGGCGTAGGCATATTCGTTTGCTTAATTACTGTTAGTCGGCACCTTTTAAAAAGGCACTAATAGTAATAATCTCGTCTCGGCTCGCACCGAGTGGTCCTTCGGTCTGTTCCGGGCGTGTTCAGAATGTATCAACCGAAAATGTGATCCTAGCAACTAGAAGGGCTTGCATTTGAAAAAAATTCTGTTTTAAGTTATTTAGAATTAAAACGTTACCAAAAGATTTTCGTTTATCGTTATACAGAATTAAAACGTTATCCAAGTTTTGAGTTTATCGTTATTTAGAACTAAAACGTTGTACAGGTACCTATTAAGTGCTTACCGTTATTTAAAATAGTGTTAATACCTATACAATTTAAAAATAATAACTAATCCGAACTAATAATAACTAATAATATATTATATAAATATAATAAATTCAATTCTTAGATTGTCGCATGAAATAAATGTTTTTACAAAACCAATACACCTTTCAAATAAATAGATTATAAAATATTTCGTTTTGCGTTATTTTTCGGTTAATGATATTCTATAAGTTACGTACTTTTTCGTTATTTTTTTTCTAATGATATATAGTATATTTTGTTATTCGTTATGTAGTTATTTAAATATATTTATTGAATGGGTAGAGTTATAAACAAAATGTTTGTATAAAAATTATAAAACTATATTTTCTAACAAAAAATGTATGCGTAAAATCTTCATTGGACCATTCATTCCATTGTTTGAGTCAGATTTATAAAATATTAAGCTAAAAAAAAAACAGTAATTTGTCATAATATATAAAAAAAAAATTAAAAAATATGGTTATATGATAATTAAAACTAAATTAGAACATTTTAATATAAATGCACACTTAGTAATTCAATAAATATCAAACTAATTACGTATTATTAACTATTTATGTAAATTTTAACAATCTTATTAATAAACTTAAAATGGTTTTTTCAAGTTATTTTTTTTGCAATCTGGATAACGCTATCGCACGATAACATTATAGTTGGTACCTAGTAGGTTGTGCAACACCACGTCCATATTATAAAATAATATAATATAATAATAATAAATATCTGCGAGTGTAATAAAATAAGTCCAAATATAAATTATTCCATCATTCAAAACTAATTAATAGTTAATATGTGTAGTGAATTGTGAATGTATGAAATAATTATACACCCAGTATACTTATAAGTTATGAATAAATACTATAACGTCTATAACACAATGACAACGACCAAGAATTCCAGAGATAATGTAGTCCGTAATTGGATTATTATTTTCGTGTTCTTTTAACTGAACGAAAATACTGTGAAGAGATTACTAGTTTAGTAGAATAAAAATACTCGAGTATAATATTACTATTAGTAGTTATTTCATTAATTTTACTTATTTACAATTCGAGTAACTACTACCAAAATTAGTAATTACTAATTACTAATTTTTCGTTTGATTTTTTTCAGTTGGTTCCGAGAATCGAGACCGAGCAAATCATTCGATTATTTTTCATAACAATCAAGTTACTCAATTTAATCAAATAAAATCAATTCAATTAAATGAAAATAATTATTTTCACTCGATTGTTCCCATCACTAGTACCTACCTATATACCCAACTAATAATAACAATAATAATTTATATCGATATTTTAATCTATCGTTACGCGCGTGGTGCCAGAGGTTAAACCTCGGTATATTAGGTATAGATACGAATCGTTACAATAGTCACAACGAATGTAGGTTAATTCGCAGCACCGCAAGGGTCAATGACTATTTTAATAAGTTCACTGACGAATGTGTTCAATGGAACGAAGGTAAAAACATCATCTATACGCGATCTTCCGTCCTCCCTAGCTGTAGGTAAGTAGGACCTATATCTAAATATAGTTATGAGTTTTTCTTTCTTGTTTTCTTATCATTTTTTGTGGTCGAATGTACAACTCCTCGCGAGTGCAGTACCTACCTATATAAACAATACGCTTTATGGCCAGTTTCACGATCGCAGTATACAACTGTCGTGGTTAGCACTTCGGTGATAGTTAATGCGGCTAGATTGTGTGATATAGAGCTGTCGTACTAACCATAACAGAAATTATCGACTTAGTTACTACAAACGGGCCCTATAATTATAACAACAGCAAGCTGTTTCAGTATCGAACCATTAGAGAGTTGCACCTTACACTCTAGATGGTGCATTTGTGAGGTAAAAATGAAAAATTACCCGTAGCTATCAAGGACGCCGAGCAAGAGAAACGAAAAAAAAGGTGCAAGTGTGAATGGGGTATCGCTCTGCTGTACAGTAGGTTACAAGTGGGACACTGTATAATGGATGGTGTTAAATTTGAATTCAATGATATAATATTATCATTGTATAAGAGAACGATTCTGAGCGAAGACGATCAGTCATCCTATATAATATATGATATTACTAAGTATATTTGACGATATTATTACTATATGAATTAAGTAATTTATATATAACCTATTTACGTAGAACCTTGTTTTAAATTGTCAATTCTTAGATAAAAGTTGAACAATTTATACATCTTTAACCACAAAATAATTATGAAGTTTTGTCAAAATGTCAACTTTATAAATGCGTATGAAAAAAGTTGTGCCTATATGTATTTTAAAAATTTTTCAACTGCTATTGTAACAATATATCAGGAGCCTTGTATTAAATGTTCACGTTTTTTGGCACAACAAATAAAATTTGATTGATAATATTGTAGAAAAAAAACTAAAAAAAAAATGAAATTTGAAATTGTCCGTATAAAAAGCTCAATATTAATTCATTTTTCAACATTTTATGGTGTATATAAAATTAAAATATAAACATTCAGTGAAATTTTCATGTATCTACAGTACAACATTTTTGAATTACAACAAAATAAGAAAATCGCTACATGAGAAATCTTATATACATAATCTTGATATTTTAACGTTAAATTTAGGATCCTAAAAAACCTTGTTTGAGGGATGTGGGGGCAAAGCCTTCCGCTCTTCCACAAGTTTCTTTACTCTACAAATTGATTGCAACCCTAACATTTTAGCCCAATTGACGCCACTATTCAGTATAAATAATACCTATACATATATAACTACTTACCTACTTAGACACTTAGTAATACACTCTAACAACCAGCCTTAGCTTGGAACCATTATTCAGTAATTTATGAATCATTATTTTATTATATATTATAATTTTTATGATACATCATTGAATTCAAATTTAACACATACATTACGATTACATATACATTGTCTCTCAATGAAAATAGAAACACTCTTACTGGTACAACAGAAAATCGGTTATACCTACTTCCCCCATTTTTTCGTTTTTTGTTATTTTTATAAATTTTTTTATGATTAAACAACCTCGAACGGTTATCGTTAAAAAATCATGAATATTTTCATATTAAATTCTTTGCCCACCCAAATTATGTCGCCTATTTTTTGTACGATAAAATAACATCTGCTAGTTGCCATTATATGACTAGTACGGCATAATCTAAAATTATAATTTTGTTTTCCAACCACAATTTCACATATTATTTTCCAATTAATATCAAGACAATCGATAATCGTTTATGTTCAAATATCGGGTGACGTCTAATAATTATTATATCATCTGAACAAATTGGATTAAATTTATTAAATATTCTATATGTAGTGCTGAAAAATATTCTTAGCATTATTTTGACAATAAAAACAATAAAAAGCAAATAAAAGTTCCATCTGCTATCCAACAGTTCGATTCTTGTAAAAATGTACAATTTTCATAAGTTGTAAACAACAAAACTTCGTTGGTTTTTTTTACTAAAAATGCATTACCTGATAATGTTTCACTCAAGTATA